GATAAACAAAATAGACTTGTCTGATTTGAAGGGGGAGCACTATGTATAACAGAAATTGAAGAAATAATATAAACACGTAAAATGACTTTTATATTATAGTTCAGATACAATGTGTGTTGAGTAATAACATATTTGTCATTTTTTCTAAACTTTGCTTCTTTTGTTCTATGATCAAAATTATATTATGTTTTCTGTCATCTGCTGCTAGTGACTGTGTTTACCTCTAAACGAAAAGTAAAACTTCCTGATTAATGATTATTGATATCAAAATGGCACTGTCCATAGAACAAAATGGCGCACTCCATTGTAATAGATCAGGAAGACATTTTGTTATGCTATGTACACCCTGAAACCTATGAACCTGTCACAATCCATTGCCAGTATTGAGAATCTAGAAAATGCAAGGGATGACAGTGTTGTTATCGCTATTCAAAGGGGCTTATTGAAGTGCAATATTGATATTGATCATCTGTCTAATGAAAATTCAAAAATCCTGATGGAGCTGCAATTAATTTGGGTGCAAAGAAAAGCTGAGTAATGCAGTTGATAACAATGTTATTGTTACACATTCTTGAAGATTCCTTTGATGCACAGTCTTCCTATTTGGTATTTACAGTCTATGCGAAAGACTTCTGAGTTTTACTGGACAATAGGTCCTGTAAACTGAAATTTTTTACAAGACCGAACATGATTTTACTGAACCGAAAAAAAATACCTGATTGGTATAGCATTTTGAGTCATTTGATAAGTGTCAGCAGTCAAAAAGTTTGTGTACATAAAGAAAATTATATTATCAACGAAGAACTATAGATGTGAAGTTATCTTTTTTCACCACAATCAAAATGTAAACATAAATATTGTTATACATGTATTCAATGGATTTTGCAATTTAAACTTTAATTCCATACAGACTATATACTAGCAAAATGAGAGGCTAAATTTCAGCAAAAGTCTGGCATATGTATGTAAACAGAATTATATATATTGGTAATTTAGTGAAGTTGACAGATTAATTGTTCAATGATTTTGGCACCTTCACAGTATAGTTTAATTTTTGTCAACATCACGGACGATCTTTCATTTCCTTAATTTGCTGCTAAACACCAGTTGAGCACACGTGTAATTAGCATTGCTCTAAGTCTGTGGATTAAAGACGTAAATTGTTCCAATTAACACACCGACTCTTTCATCTGTGTCACACAATTTGGTGAACAAACTAATAGCGCTTGGTCTTTCACATCGGGGCCGCTAATGTAATTTACGCGGCCGCTTATTGACTTAATTGTACTAGTTGTCGGATATTTTTATCTTATGTTGTTACATAAAAGTTTGCATTTTGAGAATGCATAACAGTTGACAAGCATTGCACGAGCTTGTATTGTGTAATGACAAAATTTTGATATGTTTTGAATATAGGTGAATGATCTGCCTTTGCAAAATGTTGAATGTAAGGTTTTTTATAAAACCTTGATTTTTTACCGGACCGTAGGGCCCCCAATTCATATATTTTTATCGGACCTTCTGATTTTTTACAGGTCAGGTCAGACGGTCTTTCGGTAAGACTGTATTTAGATTAGTCATGATTAATAGATTACTCCTATTGATTTTGAGGTCACCAAGTCAAATGTCAATGTTCACAGGCTTTGACTAAAGAAAGCTTGTCCGTCCAAGAACTTAAGAATTGTTTGACCCGCAGTCTTCATATTTAGCATAGAGGTTAGTCATGACCATTAGATGACCCCTATTGACTTTGAGGTCACTAGGTCAAAGGTCAAGGTGACAGGGGCCTTGACTAGAAAAGCTTGTCCACACAATAAGTTAGAATCCTTTGACCCATAGTCTTCATATTTAGTATTTAGATTGGTCATGATTAGTAGATGACCCCTAGTGATTTAAAGGTCAAAGGTCAAGGTCACAGGGGCCTTGACTAAAAAAAGCTTGTCCGCCCAATAACTTAAGAATCCTTTGACCCACAGTCTTCATATTTGGCACAGATTTTAGATGACCCTTATTGATTTTAAGGTTACTGGCTTAAAGGTCAAGGTCACAGGGGCCTTGGCTAGAAAAGGCTTGTCCACCCAATAACTTTAGATTCCTTTGACCCACAGTCTTCATATTCGGCATGACCATTAAGTGACCCCTATTGATTTTGAAGTCACTGGGTCAAAGGTCAAGGTCAAGTTTAGTTCAAAAACTTGTCTGCTCAATTGCTTAAGAATGCTTTGGTCAACAGTCTTCATATTTGGTATTGAGGTTGGTTATGACTAGAAGATGACCCCTATTGATTTTTAGGTGACCGTCAAGATCACAGGGGTTTTAACTACAATAAGCTTGTCTGCTCAAATGCTTAAGAATGCCTGTCCACATTGTATTGATTTTGACATGCTCATAAATTCATCATAAAACACCCCAGGCAAAGCTGCATGAATTTGGGGGGGGGGGGGGGGTGAGGTATTCAAATCATGCAGTGGCAGTTTCAGTTTTGAGGTCAGTAGGTCAAAGGTAAAGGTCACTTTGATCTCTGCCAGTAAAAACATGTAGAATACATAGCTTAGCAATGCACTGGCTTACTACCCTCAGATTTGGCAGGGAGGTTGTCCTTTAGCTCTAAATGACCACTGTTGATTCTGACAAAGTGGATATGTGGGGGTATTCATGCCATGACAGTGGCAGTTCTAGTTTAAAATAGAAAATTTGGTTTCTGGTCATTAACAAAAGTTTTGAATGAAAATTTCAATGAAACTTGGTGTGTATCAAGCCGATTGTGAAGACCTTGGGCTACCTTAAATGTAAAGGCCAATGTCATTGTTACTAAAAATTAGACATAATAAACAATGATGGAGTAAAATCAAAATTTGATCGTTTATAGGACCGGTCGGCGATGATCAAATTCAAGTTTAATAATTGATTATCAGTAATTTATTTTCTTGCTGTTACATAAGTGACTCACTGTATTATATCAACACTCTAAATTAAAGCCAACTTTGGTTGACACAGTAATTTTCATTCAAATGAATATGAAAGCATACTGGTGTTTACTGGTGACCATGGAGTTCATAGTTGACATTGAGACATTCTAGTTTAAAGATATAGTTTACTATGCTGAAATTTGACATTTGAAAATATTTAGAATTGCTACACTGTCTTTACGTAAATATAAAGTAAACATATTTTGACTTCACACAAAGAAGATCTGTTAATTTGTATAAAATTATTCTACACACTATAGGTTGTCACAATATTAATATATACTGTCATTAAAAAAACCTGGCAGTTTTGTTAAGAGAGGACCAATTTTACTTGTCCCAGTAATAGGCTACACCTTTTCATACATAGTTTATTCATTCCTTTATTCGAATTGAGACATTATATTAAATAATTTCATAGATTTTAATGAATTTATTTGATTAAAATATTTTACTCAAGGATGAGCATAGTATATCTTAACTTTAAACTAGTTTATTTTAGTTGATAAAGTGGTAGTTACACAAAATATAGAATATTAATGGAAATTTCTTTAAATATTAAAGCATGATATGTACTTAGTACATATTTACTTTGTTATTGTAAATGCTTCGATTATATAATTGATGATTGATCAAAAAGGGTTGTTCGATTATTTTTGGTGATTGATTATGAATTTTGTCCGTTTAAGAAACCCTACTTAAATTATTAAATCAGGTTCTTGTCAATAACTAGAGTTAGAAATGAGATATTTCAAAGGTTATTGGTGTGCAGTAAGCTTATATGAAGACCTCACTTGGGAGTGCTTTTAGGCCCCCTTGGGCCATTGAGAGTCACTGTAACTAAAACTAAAAGCCTTGCTGGCCCCCTAATTAAAGGTCAAGATCACTGTTACTAAAAATAAAAATTCTTCTGGTAAATAACTGGATTTAGGAATGAGATATTTTAATTTAACATGTTGTATAGCATTCATATTTAATTAAGTTAGTTAATACAAATTTATTTTAGTTTGATTGTGTTGTATTGAAACACTCTCGAATCCGTTCTTGGAACCAACCAGTACTAAGCAATGAATGTAAAGTTTTTTGCTCAAGGAAACAACGGCTTGCCCCTGATCCCTGATAGGGTTTGAACCAAAGCGGTCAGCAATCCTTAGATTACTAGTCCGATGCGTTAACCACTCGGCCTTGCCGCCACTTTTATTTGAAAACCTCGCATTGGATTGCTTTTGAATCTCATAGGATAAAGGTCAAAGTCACTACCCGTATTACTAAAAATAGGAAATTGGTTTTAGGTGCAGAGTGAGATATTGAAAAAAAATAACTTGGTGTATAGCAAGCTTATGTAAAGACTTCCTTTTGATTGCTTTAGGCCCCCCTCCCTCCCCCAAGGATCAAGGTCAATACATTACAATATCAATTCAATATTTTTTTTTCTTTCATCTGGTGGAATTATAAAATAATTGCTTAATTTTTTTGTTTCTTCATTATTTACATTGGCTTTTGCACATAGTTATATTGTGCATTTGTATTGAAATGTATTCCAACTTTTTGTATTCCAACTTAAGAACAAAACTTTCTACAATGGTGATAACTGAAAACCTGGTTTTGTGGCATTGCCATGTTTTTTGTTATTATGGATGGATTTAATTTAAACTAAGAAAACGGAACACATTTAACCAATATGTTTAGTTATTAAAGTATGACTATAACCTTGAAATGACCTGTTCATTATTGTCAATGTCAAATACAAAAATTTCTTTCAATTTTGTATAACTTTCCTATTGACGCATTGACTTGATTAATATTTGGACACCACATATTGAACAACATGTTCATATGAAGAGAGTATTATAAATCTTGAATCCTCACTGCCTTTGATCATCGATGTAATATTTATTTATTTTTATTTGTTTCGTATTTGAGGTAAAAGAGCAACCCTAAGTTGCACTTGGCATTGCTGAAAACCTGATTTCATGGCATTGCCATGTTTCTTGTTATAAAAATGTATAACAAAAGACTGTACTTTTTTTACAGATAGAACTTAAATATAGGTGAAAAGATATCTCAGGATGCCTTCTGGAAAGGAGATGCAGTTGTGGTGGTCTGGAGAAGCTGAGAGTATGTTTGTCTACTATCTTACAGGAGCATTGGCAATTGCTTTGATTGCAAGCTTTACATTAACAAGGTCATTGAGGAGGAAAGAGGTACCGTCAAACTTGTATTAAGCGACCGTGCAAAGATAACACTGAAAATGGTCGCTTAGTGAAACAGTCTCTTAAGACAAAGCATCATAAAAAACTCAAAATTTATACATTACATCTTTCTTTTGTGGTCTGAATGTTTTTAGCTTCCTTTATAATTAGAACGCTCCGATAATCTAAATGGATGCTAATATAAAAATCAAAGCACAGAAGGCGCTGAATTTGTTTGGGTGTCAGAAAGGTGAAAAAAAAAAATTAGTTGCCTCAACTGGGATTTGAACTCCAGACCTCTTGATTCAAGGGCGAGCGTGCAAACCCCTCGGCCATGGTGAAGTTATATGTTAACGGCCTGAAGAAAACTATATTATTCTAAATTAGGGTTTGTAACTCTTTATTATTTTGATGCTAAACCTGTTGTTTAACACAGATGTAAATAATCATGGAGCTTTTTGTAAGCATGTATATCTATAAAGAATGAAACTACTTTGCTTGAAAATTAATGCGCCTGTCAAATGACAATCTTTACACATTGATCTCCCCTGAATTTTTCGGCGTTAGTGTACATATAAAGGGAAGTAACCGCTTAGAAAAAGTGGACTACTTTAGGCATTTGCAATTAACAGCATTAGGCTCTGAAATTTCGTTACCATTATTTGTTTGGTCTGACGACCCAAACAAATAATAACTTTCTGATTTTTATTGACAAAAAGGTTTTGATCCAATACAATGTATGTACATGCTTGACATTTTTCCAGAATTTTTAAACTTCTCTGTTGCTTTTCCTTGTCTCCAACACGAAGACCCTGATTAGTGAAGATGCTTTCTGTTGTGCATTTTTATTTGAAATAAACAAACTACAGTCAAACTACACGTTAAGCTAAAAATACTACACAAAATGGCCACCAGAGCTAAAAATAGAATATTCTTGTCTGGCCTTCACAGGTCAAACTACTGGTTGGATTTCAACCAAACTTCACAGGAGTAATCAGTACCAATCCTTAGTGGTGCACATTGCCAGCATGTTCTGCTTCCCTGCACAAAATGGCCGCCAGAGCTAAAAATAGAAATTGTCCAGCTTTCACAAGTCAAACTTATGGTGGGATTTCAACCAAACTTTACAGGAGTGATCAGTACCATCTCTTGTTGTGCACAATACCCGCATGTTCCTCTTGGCTGCACAAAATGGCCGCCAGAGCTAAAAATAAAAAATTCTTATCCCGCCTTCACAGTCCGGTCTTTACAGGTCAAACTACTGGTGGGATTTCAACCACATTTTACAGGAGTGATCAGTACTGTCCCTAGTTGTGCATCTCACCAGCACTTTCAGCTTCGCTGCACAAAATGGCCACAAGAGCTAAATTCAGAATTTGCCAATACGGCAATTTAAGGCAAATTTTGGGTTGGTTAATATATAGTTTATCAATTTGAAGACATTATGTCTGTGGCTAATTGGTGGATATTTGATAGCTATTATATTGTAGGTATCTTTAAATTGCAAATAAAAATTTACATCTTGCATGTATTTTTATCACATCAGGCAATAGTAATTTACCAACATGTGACCGATAAAAAGTTGACACTCAATTTAATCCACCCCGCTGATGTTATTTGGGTCTGCTGCATTCTTTATCAATTTTTATACCTTATATAAACACTGTTGGAAGTAAATAATAATCGCCATTTTTTTGTAGCAAAAATGCAAAACAATCGCCAATCTTATAAAATTATCGCAAATGGTGACCATGGCGACCGACAGCGTGAGCCCTGCTTCTTCTCCATTTCTCCTTTACCCTTTCTTAATCGTTTATGCTATTTTAATACAGTGAGTATGCGTGGCTTCTGGAACTTTCCCCTTGATAGCTATAATCTTTTTCTGCGTTTTAAACAGTTTCTCGCCTTACTGTAGACACAAACTGTTCTAATTGATCGATTTTCAAGACGTTCCAACAACATAGTTTTAACGCGAGTATTTCTTTCACATGTGATGTTTGAATTGTGATTGGAAATATAAATATGGTTTAAAGGAAGTCATTTTTAGCTCAATTTTTTTTTGAAAAAAAAAGTAGAGGTATTGTTATAGTCCTGGCGGCATTGACGTTGCCGGTGCCGCCCGCAAACTTGTACCTGGATCATAACTTTTTTAGTTCTTGGTGTATTGTCTTCATACTTGGCCACAACAACCCTTGGGATAAGACCTTTCAGTATACCACACTAACCTTGACCTTCATCTATAAATGACCTTGACCTTCAAGGTCAAAAGTCCAAATTTTGCTTGTTCTTGCTATTATTGGCTGTAACTTTTATTTTTGAATGGATTGTCTTCAAACTTAAACATAATAATCTTCAAGGATAGCCCTTTAAAATAACTAGACAGACCTTGACCTTCACTCATAAATGACCTTGACTTTGAAGGTCAAATTATTAAAATTTTCATGATTTTGGCTATTATTGGCTGTAACTTTGTTATTTTTGAATGGATTGTCTTCAAACTTGAACAAAATAATCTCCAAGGATAGCCCTTTTAAATAACTAGACAGACCTTGACCTTCACTCATAAATGACCTTGACTTTGAAGGTCAAATTATTGAAATTTTCATTTTTTTGGCTGTAACTGGCTGTAACTTTGTTATTTTTGAATGGATTGTCTTCAAACTTGAACATATTAATCTTCAAGGATAGCCCTTTAAAATAACCAGACAGACCTTGACCTCCACACATAAATGACCATGACTTTGAAGGTCAAATTATTGAAATTTTCATTTTTTGGCTGTAACTGGCTGTAACTTTGCTATTATTGAATGGATTGACTTCATATTATAAAAGAACATTCTTAAGGACAAGACCTTCATGTTTATCAAACTCAAATTGACCTAGGTTCTTTTATGACCTTGACCTTGAAGGTTAAAATATTGAATTTTCACTGATTTATGCATTAAATGACCATAAGCGTATATATATAAATGCGTATACTTATATAAATGCGTATATATATATATCATTCAATTTAGAATATCTTTATATGTACAGCAATCGTAAACTATTTTCTTCAATTAAAGCATGAAATTATTAAATTATTGTACTTAACGCGTGTTCCCTGTGATATTGAATTACCATGGTAACAGACACCCGGCATAGCACATAAATAAGTTATTGAAGCTTAGTTTTACTTTTAATTTATTCATAGTTTGTTCTATTTTGTTTGCCATATATTCCACCAACACAATTCATTATATTTAAATGACATTATGCCCAAAGTTGACGTCATTCAGACATGAATCATCAAGTTTTGAACAGCAGTAGTAAAAACGTTAAACGTAGAAATTTGACGTTCGTTAAAAAACTGAAAATGTGTGCGATCGTTAAACTTTTGCCAACAAATTGGCGATACTCCTTCAGATACATACGAAAGCATAAAATTAACACAGTACAATTAATAGGTATCAGGATACTCGTTTTCAGCTTGCGCAAGCAATTAAAAAACGACATATTTGAGATCACAAACAGGAAAGGGTGAGGATAATAGCGAAAAATTAACAGGACGTTAGTGACGTCAAATGGAAAATCGCTACAAAAGGATCGATGGTAAACAGTCCACGAACTGGCTGGCATGTTTAATGTCTGCATCGGGTTTACCGATTCAGTTCTGACCAAATGATTTAATATGAGACATTTATTTCAAACAATATATTGTTTCAATTAACTAGATATACATGTTATCAATAAATCAATATAATAATGAATTACGGTTATTAATATTTTTTTCCCCAGATTTTCTTTTTAAAAAATGATACGCTGCTCTTAGTAGGAAAATATACTTCGCAATTGATAAATATTGATATTTAACTAACATAATCATATTGTTTTAAAACGTCTTATGATATGTGTAAATGAATTATATAAATCGCTTTTTCATTAACATGTTTTTGGAGAGTTGAACGAGAGTGTGATTATTTTCTTTCTTGCTTCGTCTCCAACATATGAGGTCTGGTCATAGTTACATGATTCAGACACCTAGAACACTAGGGAGAATTCTTTCAGAAGGAATGACGCTTGTTACATTTCTTTTATTTTACGACGTCATAAATGTCATTTATTATACTGTTAGGGTGCGCCAGGTCACGTACCTATTGTCATTTAAAATTTTCACAGACTCGTTATTTTAAACATATTTTATTGATTTTATCACTGTATAAAGAGGATATATTCAGATATTATTTTCTTATTTAATTGTGCACGTAAATTAAAAAATGTGAACAGTAGAACTGCAGTCAGTCCTATTACTTTTTGAACAACCCTTGTATATATATAAATGCGTATATATATAAATATGTATCTTTTTCTTTTTCTTCTGTAATACACATGGGGATATATTGGAAAAGGATTAATACTTTGACAAAACTAATGTGACAAGATACACCGATTAAATTTATAAAAAGGAAACGTAAAGATTTGTTCAAACGTTTCTTTGTTTGCTTTTAAAAAAGTAAAAAGTCGTGCGTTGCCCCAGCCCGGCGGTGGCTCTTGTTTCTGACAACGTCAAAGATATGGTTCATGACGTTTTTGCGTATTTTTAAATCTAATTGTGCCATTTTTGTAAAATATATGCATCATAAAGCGCCTGATGTTGTGTGTTTCCATGGTTTTCTAATTCACTGTTACAGACAAGCTATCTGTGTTACATTAGATATAGCATCAGTTTATAGGTATTGTTTTCCGATTAAGTGTGATATATACAATAAGTGATAGGTTGAAAATTCTTCAGTTGACCAGTTTATTTTTGATCATCCCTCGTATGTTCCTATTTATCTCTAGTGTTTATTTTACAAAAACATAGTTAACAGATGATTACTCTTTAGGTGGTACATCATAAACTATGTTGAGCTTAAATTTTGCTTTATATCACTTATATTTCACATTGTTAAGTTGGGTATATGAAGATCAGCTTTAGCACATTTTTTAAAATCACTTATGCAAAATGTTTGAATTTCAGCCTTTAGTGACAGAATTGCTTCATGAAGACAATACAAGGGAGGTTCTTGTAACATATATGCTGGAAATAGTCACATCACCTTTATCTGGTCAGTATCTTAGTATAAAGACACAGCTGCACACTTTAGAAATCCAACCATACTGGGAAGTGGGAGGCAAATATATTTAATGCCCTTTTGTCTCTAAAGTTGTCAGTAAGTTAAGAACAGTTTGTTTCATGTCTAATTGAAAAGGTATAACAAACTTTCTAAAAATAGTTGTCAGCATGGAGTCTTATACACCTGGGCATATGTAAATTAATAAGAACAGTTTTTCCCCTCGATTAAGCAGTAAATGGCATTTTTATGGGTGAATTAGAAACTTGATTTTGCCCATCAACAAAAATATTCATTTATGTGAAGTATTACATATTCTATTTTGCTAATCAAGTTTTCCAATTTTTGAGAGACATATTGTTTTTGCCTTGGCAGTCAGTCTGTCTTTGCTGTCTGTCCGTCCGCGCAACCGAATAGGGGTAGGGAGCCATCTAATGGTAAACAGAACAAAAGAGAACAATAGACTAGACTGTGCATTCCGTAAAAACAAAATAAGGGGCCATCATGTGGCCCTCTATTAAACAAAAGAAAATAACAGAAGAAAAAAAATTTAATGGCCTCTTCAATTCAATACAGCTGGATGTCTGTCTGTCCAAGCTAACATAGGATACATATGTGGCTAGAGGAACAATAGGTAACTGTACTTTATCTTTGATGTCATTCATTCTGTAAGGCTTTTATTTGGCAGTTTTGTGGCTATAAAGAACAATAGCTCTTGTTAAGCCTAGGGATGGCAACAAGTAACCGGGTATCCGTGTACTCGATCGAACGTCCGAATATCCGTTGACAAAATTGATATTTGATTACTCTGAAAAAATATATAATTTCAATATTTTGCGATTTAGAAAGATTAGTGTAGTTCAGAAATTCAGAGATATACATGTATCTTCATAAAAACCTGTTAAACGCAATCAAAACATCCTTGCAGAGGTGATATCATAAATCTAACGAAGCGATCAACAGTTTGACACCTCATGGGATTGAACACCTGTGTCGCTTACATCATTCGGCCTTTTATGATATTTAATTATCCAAAATTGTGCATTAATGTAAACATTGTAAAATCTATTGTCATTTTTGTGCCCCCCACTATGTTGATCAGCATGTGAAGTTGTGCACCTGGATATTTTCATGTGGATATATTTAGTATTTTTAGAGTTATTGCCCTTGACTTAGTAAAAATTTCCAATTTTCAACTTGTGTCGCATGTAACTAAAAAAGTATTTGACCTAGAGTCATGAAACCTTACAGGAATGTTGCTCAGCATGTGTTGTTCACTGTGCACCTGGGTATTTTCAATTGGATATTTTTAGTATTTTTAGAGTTATTGCCCTTGACTTAGTAAAAATTTACAATATTTAACTTGTGTTGCACATAACACAAAATGTGTATGACCTATAGGCCTGAAAGATTACAAGAATGTTGGTCAGCATGTGTACTTATGCACCTTTGGGTTTTCTTGTGGATTTAGTCAGTATTTGTAGTATTTGCCCTTTACTTAACCCTTTACCTCATATATACACGAAACAAAGCACTTTCGACCCTCCCCCCTCTATTAAGCCTCAAATAGTGAAAAAATGTCCTGTTTGGGCCCCAAACACATGTTTTCATTTGAGAAATGTTGATAAAAAAAGTGACCACTTTTTTGGCGCGGCCCCCCAACCAAAAGATACATCAGGGGGTTGCCAGAAGGGGGACGTGCCCCCTTCTGTTTGGGGGGTTTGTAGGGGGCGGTAGTCTCCCTGATCGCCAAGAAAATTTTGGACTTGTGAGAGGCTTAAAATGACCCCAGATCGATCATAAGGTAATGTGTAACCAACGCTGAAAAGCATTTGACTCTATCTCAATCCATTGAGATGTTGCAGCACTTTGAAATCAATTTTGATGGAAAAAATAGTTTTATAGCAATTTGAACTTGTAACGGGAGACTTTTCAATGAATTCAGCCATTTTTCACAAAATGCTCATAAAGTAATGGGTTAATAAAAGATTTTTAGTTTTCAACTTGGGCATATGTAGCCAAAAAAAAATTTGACCTAGAGACATAAGATTGACAAATCTAGTAATTAATTTATTTATTGGTTATTCTTTAAAGTAACCTCCCTATTTATAGTTTTGTATTCTATGAATTTAAATAGAAAACAAAAGTAGCATGCTGAGGGTGTTGAAAATGTGTGATAAAAGATCATTGGAAATCATCCTAGTAACCAAGTACTCAATTGGAAAAATGACAGAGTACTTGTGTATCAGTTTTGGTATATGTTGCCATCCTTAGTTAAGCCACATAAGTGCTGTGTAGTTAGAATGTTCCCTCATCCAAGCTTTAGTGCAGGATGAGGGTCATTATTGGAATAAAGCCGGAGGCCGAGCATGTATACATAGCATTCCTTCCTGGACGTATCGATTAAATCGCACTTTAAAAAAGAATCAAATCTCCCGCGTAATGAGGTATTCCCCATTGCACATGCGCAGTACACCATACAATACCGGAAGTAAACCCCGGAAATTTCATATCTTTAACATGTTTTTGTTGAATAGAAGAAATATGGGCAGGGTACATAACAATACATAAAATAGTGGGCGGGTAGTATACATGCTCGGCCTCCGGCTTTATTCCAATAATGACCCTCATCCTGCACTAAAGCTTGGATGAGGGAACATTATTTTCATAAAGCCTTCGGCTTTCGCATGTATACATAGCATCTTTAAAGGCAACAAAAACTAAATTTGTGGCAACATAAAAACTGAAACTGACAAAAGAAAAGTTCATACTAAAGAAAATCATTTTTAATTCCCAATACAAACTGTAAACAACAGTCTATATAGTAAGAAAATAATCCCAAACACTTTGAATACAGCAAGTAGAGTACATACACGACACAGGACTCTATATAAATATTACACAATCATCAACATGTCACTTAAATTATATTGTCTAGTAAATAAATTGTAATACTGGCCGATAAGCTCAACTGTGAAAAACAGCCTGCGTATAAGTCAAGTTACTATTACTAGAAGACTGTCTGTAATAAAATTTCTTAAAGTTTTTGTCTGACTTCCAGTCCGCAGTTTCTAAGATAGACTTCAATGAACAACCCCTGCTGAAGGCTGTTGATGTGGATACACCTCTAAAAGAATGAGCTTTATAAATATCTGTATTGATACCGGAGAGTTCTAAAACTATCTTTAACCATCTGGCTATAGTACTGCTAGTTACTTTATCAAAAGTTTGAAAAGAAATAAATAAAGACCTAGATAATCTACAATTCTCAGTTGCCTTAAGATAAGCTAAAAGAGTATGCATAGCACATAAACTTTCCTGAGAAAAGTGTTCAATACAAAGTGAAAAAGAATGACCAATTTTAGAAGTCTTAAGTAAATGTGGAAACAAAAACACAATATCTTTCTCTTGAATTAACATATTATCCAAATTCATAGCTGTTAAAGTCTGAGCTTTAGGAGCTGTTATTAACGAAATCAAAGCAACCACCTTAAAAGTCAACATTTTAAGGGTTAATTTTTTCAAAGGCATAAGAGTTTTCAAAAACTTCAAAACAATTGTCACATCCCAAAACACTAAATATCTAGGCCGCGGAGGTTTGAAGTTAAACACACTTTTCATGAAGCGAGGAATTAACTCACACCATTTGCACCAACGGTTTCCACAAAATGGCAAAGTCTGCAAAAGCATAGACTTATGACTATTAATTACCGAATAGGATCTTCCTAATTTAAATAAATAAAACAGATACATTACAATTTCATCTTCAGTTGTATTAAGGGGATTTGTTGACCTGACACAGTTCCAAGATAACCATATTTTCCAGGCGCTTTGATACTGCTTCCGTGTTCCTGATGACCATGATGATATAATGAAGTCGGCAAGTTCTGACGAAAAACCTCGACTTTGGAGCGATTCCCCGATATGATGGTTGCGACCAAATTTAAACGCTTCCCCAATGGGTGTTGTTCTAGACTGTGTGGCAGCATGAGCAAATCCCTGTGTCGTGGTAACCTTGAGGGAATAGAACAAATACATTCTAAAAGAATAGGAAACCATGACTGAGATGGCCATAAAGGGAATACTATTAGAGCCTTATCAACTTCATGCAGTCTTACTTTATTTATAACTTTTGTTAACAAATTAAATGGAGGAAACAAATATGGACAAAGTCCAGACCATGACATATTAAACGCATTTACAGAATAGGCTCCTGGCTCTGGAAACCATGTTACAAACTTGTCTAATTTTGTATTTAAACGCGACGCAAACAAATCTATATCCGGTAAAAAATATTGTCGACAAATTCTGTCAAAAACACTTTGTCCGAAGAATTAGAGAAATTTCTAGAATAAAAATCTGCAGTATTTTCTTTTCCTGCAATATGACTGGCAGACAAACAAATATTCATTTGAATGCACCAAAACCAAATATTTTTAGCTAAAGAAGGTATTGAATGCATACCACCAAACTCATTTACATAGGAAACTGCAGTAGTATTATCACACTGTACTTCAATATGTTTATTGGAACAATTAGTGTAAAGAGCCTTTAAAACATAAAAAATTGCCAATAATTCTAGATAATTGATATTGTTGTTCGACTCCTCAAAGGTCCATCTACCATTTGTATGCGTTTGAGACTATAGGTCTATCCCCCCAAAACCAGATAGGCTCGCGTCCGTTCTACATTTGATATCCACAGGTTGTGGTCTTATAAACTTCCCATTTTTAATAACAGTATTTTGTAACCACCATTGTAACTCCTCCAATGAGGTTGCAGATAAATTCATGGTCTGGTCAAAATCCATAGTGTTGCCAAGAGCAAAAATTTTATCTCTCTCTAAAGCACGATAATGTAATTTAGCCTCAAAAACAGCAAAAAAGGCATTGATAACAAGACCAATAAAAGATGCTAATTCTCTTATAAAAACATTCTTCTTTGAAATGAGAAACTTAGCTTTAGAAATAATTTTTAGTACTTTTTCATCAGGTAAATAGACCTTAAATTCAACGGAATCAATAATAAAACCAAAAAATATTATCCTTTGAGAAGGTACAAGACTGGATTTGTCTTGATTGACAACAAAACCTAATGATTCTAAAGTTTGAACTAAAGTCATTGAATTTTTTGAACAGATAATCTTATCTTGATTCATATTCAATGAATCATCAATGTAGTAACTGCAACGAATATCTTGTTTTCTTAACCAAGCATAGACTGGCTTTAATATTTTTGTAAACAAATATGGCGCAATGGAAAGCCCAAAAGGTAAACATGAAAATTCATACAAGTTTCCATTCCATTGAAACTTTAAATATTTTCTATAATGTTCATGTATAGGAACAGAAAAGTATGCCTCAGACAAATCAACCTTTGTAAAGTAATCATTTCTCTGTATCAGATCTAAAACAATATTAAATGTTTCTTGTTTAAAATGATTA